GCACAGCAGATCGAGAGATATGGCTTTGGCCGGTGGCAATCCGAGCCCCTATGGCGCATTCGAGAGTTCAAGGCGGTGTGCACATCGAAGACAGAAAGACTTCCTACCAGATGAACCCAGGAGTCGGATATACTCTTGGAGGAGGATTTCACTGCACCACTTTTGACAACATCGCCCAAATCTTCAGAGAAGGACTACGTCCCGGAGGAGGAGGCGACCGCATCAATACGTTCTTCGTGCCATTCGCACCGTGGGACGTGCGAAGTCAGACGGTGCTGCGATTCAGGAAGATTGATCAAACTGATCTCGTCTACATATACATCACGTACGATTCCATCGCCAAGTTCTCCCCGCGATTATCAGCAGACGGACACATTTTGGTCCAAGAGACAATTCCATTCGAATCATTCGATGCAGTTTGGTACTACGATTGGAAGGAAAAGGACTACTACCGTCTCATGATCACAAAGGGAAAAGATCAGATTGTACTTTCTGTGCAAGGAGCAAGGAGGGTAGCCACCATCGAACGATTTGACAAACTCATTGGGAACATTGTCCCTGATGAATCATCGCCCGATCTGAACGAACTTCGAAAGCTTGTCGACATCAAGACCGGTCACTTCAGTCATGCTCACAGATTATTCCCTGGACATCCGGATTGGAATGATGCAATACCACTTCTAGCAGTCACTCATCATCCCAGCAAGGAGGACCATCGACTATGCCCCGCATGTCTGATGGAGACCCCTGCATCACTATCGATTTGTGTGATGTGCAAAGGATTTTTGGTCAGTCATGGATGGAGGAAGCGAATCAAGATCACCGTGGCTACTGTACCAAATGCCGAATCACGTCCTCGAGAAGAAGATCTCAAAGACCATGTCAAGAAAGCATGGGAGGAAGTAAAAATCGATTTGACAGGTGAAGATGATGACGACGAACTGATGCAAGATGATGATGACGTCACCATGAAGAGTCCAGAACAAGAACCTCAACAAGAAGAAGAAAATGATGATCAAGCCTCGAAGAAGGGTGACATCAATGATGAGAGAAGAGACTTCAGAAAGCAAGATGAGGTCGATGAATTTCTCAATGAGGAAGGAAAACAAACCGATGAGAATGACGATGAAGAGAAAGAAGACGGTGAAATCAACATTGAGGAGTACGAGGCCGGAGAAGCTCATGATGCAGTGATCGAATATCCCAAATGGCTGAAGAGGATCGAATTTGGATCAAAGGTCCTACCAATCGAACCATGTACAATTGGAGATGCTCAGCCGGAGCTCATCAAAATCCTCCTGTTACAGATTGGGTTGCGTATCGTCAGGATCTACAGACTATTCCAACGGAACTTCTGTGGAGACATTGAAACGGCATGGCAACACTTTCAACAGAACCAGAAATTCAGGATGGACTTGGATTCAAGAGTGCCATACCTAGGTGAGGATGAAAATGGTGAACTCATCGAACCAACTGCACAACAAATGAAGGAGCTATACCGAGAAATCGGCCGACCAGAAAGCAAGGACGACATCGGGGAAGAGGGATTCGTCAATGCATACTATGGGGCAGTGGTACTCAAGCGACTTCTCGTATATACCCTTGAATGTGGTTACACATATGAAGACTTGCAAAATATCTTCTACGACGAGGAGATGGAGAAACGGTCGAAACGTGACACATCAAGGGATGAGATGAGAAAGACCACAGCTGCCCGCGAAGCCCTTGACCGACAAGACGTCATGGTCAGAAGAATCATTGCAGGTGCATACAAAGTGAATGCTGTTTATTTCTTCAGGAACGTCGACTTTCAAGACACAATCACATTGAATCCAGTTGACATAGTGTGTGCTCTTCGACCACCACTTCGAAGAATATCAGTTTTGCATCTGATCCTTCAAAATGGCCGACAATTGCCGCGACCTCTACTCCAGAGGCTGTATGATGCAATCGATGACTACAACCACATCAAGCAACGGGATGATCAACGACCAAGATGGGGCATCCACATGTCAGAAGCCCACCTGGTCGCGATTGCTGATACCCCGGTTCCTGCCGATCGTGAACGTGCTAACCCGGCAGCTGGCAAATCAAAAGCAGCCCCGAAAGCAGCACCGACACTGGGCAGAGTGTCGAAAGCGAAAGCATCATCATCAGCAACATGGAGAACCGTCGAAGCTGCTCCTCCGCCGAAACAAGCTCCAGTACCTCCGCCACAGAAAGGTGGAAAGGACCAAGGGAAAGGAGAGAGATCTTATTCACACCGTGGTGGTGACTGGAACCATCAGGGATACTATGGATGGGGATACAGACGATAAATCGACATGACCTCTGCATAGGTCCTGATTGAACCTGGCGAAGCGAGGCAGCAATCATTGCTCGTGATTTACCTCTACTTCATTATGAATGGTTTCTGAGAGGAATCTGAGCCGGCTAATTGAGAACCACATATTTTTTTTTGAATATCGTTGCACGAAACGCTGAGTTTCTACAGCGGTCTACATCTCAACCGACGAAGGAACGGGAAGGTAAACTTCTAGTTCCATAGTCATCTTCGTATTTCGATTTTATTTTTTTTCTCATGCTTGAGTGGGATTCCATGCTGGCTACGCCACATCGGATGAACCTCAATGCTGTACATAGACTACGTCTTGTCAGCGTGCATGTGAACAAACCTTTTGTTTCGTTTGTAGAGATCGTAGCAAGCCGCATCGTAGATATGAAGTTCTGGATGAACATTCAACTCTCTCTAATTCAACAAATGTAAATTGCAGAATGGGAGATTTAAACTGGCTCTCCTGCGCGTGACTGACAAAGTCAGTCATGCGTGGGGGGTGCGAATGGGGACTATACCACAGTGTACAACAGTATCCCCATGTAAATAGCCAGGTACCACTCCAGCCAAAGGGTCAATCGCAAAACCCTCTGGCTCAAGTCACCTTACTGCAATTGTCCGATCAAAATAGAAAGCTATGCCGAAGCCGTGAACTGGACGTCATCGACTCACACGGGACAACTCATTCCTACACCATCAAGAAGCACATATCGGAAGGAATCTCCGATTCACAATCTATCTATCTATCTATCTCTCTCTCTCTCTGTCTGTCTGTCTGTCTGTCTGTCTATATATCTATCTATCTATCTCTCTCTCTCTCTATCTATCTCTCTATCTATCTATCTATCTACCTACCTATCTATCTATCTATCTATCTCTCTCTCTCTCTATCTATCTATCTATCTATCTCTCTCTCTATCTCTCTATCTATCTATCTATCTATCTATCTATCTATCTATCTATCTATCTATCTATCTATCTATCTATCTATCTATCTATCTATCTAGCTGCCTATCTGTCCATCTATCTATCTAGCTGCCTATCTGTCCATCTATCTATCTAGCTGCCTATCTGTCCATCTATCTATCTACCTACCTATCTATCTACCTATCTACCTATCTACCTATCTACCTACCTATCTACCTATCTACCTATCTACCTATCTACCTATCTATCTCTCGGTCTGTCTGTCTGTCTGTCTGTCTTTCTGTCTGTCTGTCTATGTACCTGTCTATCTGCAAGCTTGAATCTTGAAAACCTAACTATTCTGCGTGACTTCTTTATTTTTCAAAGTTGACAACATCAAAAATGCAACAATTCTGCGTGACTTCCTCATTTTTCAATGTTGACAACATCAAAAACGAAGCAATTCTGCGAGAGTTCCTCATTTTTCAAAGTTGACAATATCAAAAACGAAGCAATTCTGCGACACGTCTTCATTTTTTGAACTAGACAACATCCAAAACAAAGCAATTCTGCGAGACTTATTCAATTTTTGATCTTGACAACGTCAAAAACAAAGCAATTCTGCGAGACTTCCTTCAAAAATCGAAAGTTGAGTGCAGCGCTGACGGCCTCGTACCAATGCGTTTTGCGATTTTTCCACTCCACCTGTCTAAAGTACTGCGCCTGCCACGAAAAATTGATACGAAGTGCGGCACCTGTCCCGCAAAATCATCTGAGCAAACCTACAGATCTGATGCTCCAAAATGCAACCCCTCTCAGGAATTCCAGCGCCCTGACCTCCTAACATCTCTGATGAACATGTCTTTTGTACCGCGCCTGGCACGCGAAATGCATCTTTGCAGATCCTCTTCAAATGTCCCACGCATGCCATCGTTTTTGGAAATGCTACAGAACCCTCACGTTTTGCTCACTTTTGAGAAGGTGCGCAATCCCTTGCGCCTGCCACGCGAAAGCACATCTGAACGTCCAAAAGTGCTCCGTACCCGTCAGTTTTTTGCACTTTTGACTTCGAAATGTGCTTCGCGCCACAACGGCGTGCACTTTTTCGACATTGCAACTTCCAAAAGTGGTCCGACAATGGTGTGTTTTGTACATTTTGACTTGGAAATGTGCTTCGCGCCACAATGGCGTGCACTTTTTCGACATCGCATCTTCTAAAAGTGGTTCGAAGCTGGTGTGTTTTGTACATTTTGACTTCGAGATGTGCTTCGCACCACAATGGCGTGCACTTTTTCGACATCGCAACTTCTAAAAGTGGTTCGAAGCTGGTGTGTTTTGCACATTTTGACTTCGAAATGTGCTTCGCGCCACAACAGCGTGCAATTGTTCATCTCTCATCTGGCCAGATGGCTCCGCACCCGCCGCTTAGCGAGCCTACTTTTCGATCCTCCTGAGCCACAAATCATTGGAAAAACAGAGTGTTTCGCGACTTTCCTACCTTTTCGCGCATCTGCATCTTCTTTCTTCTGACTCTTTCTCTTCTCTGATCTTCTCTCTTCTACTCTTCTCTTCTCTCTGACTCTTCCCATCTCTGCTTTTGATCTGTCCATATTGTCGGAAGTTTGACTTCTAAACTTCCTTCGAACATAGATTAAATAGCTAATTGCTCCTGCAGTAGTGTTCTTCACTTGCGCGCCAAGTTTTGGTGCCTTCCCGTGGACATCTTCCGCCGGAAACATTTTGACAAGAACTGCTTCAGGACATGTTGGAATGTCCACCTGATGTTCCCTTGGAAAAGCTACATGAAGTTGAAAGACCAGAAGATTTCGAACCGTGCCAGCCACTTCACCTTGGTGTCTCGCCAGGATTTGTGAGATAACAACGCCCATTCACGAGCGCGTTGGACATGTTGGCTAAAGAGTTTGTATTGTTTGTAATTTCCAGATTGGCATTCCCATGATTTCCAATGGACCAGTTGAGAAAGAGCAATCTCTGAATCTTTGGCCAAAGAATTCCAAAGAAATCGCCAGGCATGACATTGGCTGGATTGCTGCCTCCAGCATCAAGGCTGAAAAAGAAGAGCCTTGGCACCAAAATGACAGCCTCAGCCAAATGCCTGACTTCTTTGAAATGATTCAACATCCCAAACTCCGCAGCACTCACGGAATGTTTGGATGAAAATTTGTGTGCAGCAATCAACATCGATCAACCATGTCTCCCCACTTGTAAGACAGTTTGGATGCCCATCGCCCAGGAACCACTGCCGCAGCCAGTGGCGGAGTAGCGAAACCAGAATCGATTTTTTGGAGCTCTACAGGCGAAGCATAGAGAAGCTGTCAGTTCAGACGTCACAAGAATTCGCTCAAAATCAGCCCCTCTCACCGGACGCACACCGGAGGCGGTTTCTGAAGGAAGAGATCTTACCAAAGTTGGCCGAAGCTGTTGGTTACACAGGCCAGGTGAGCAGTGGGGTTGTGCGGGCAACTGCAGGGAGATAGCAACACTTCGAACACCAAAGCTACCATAGAGTAGGAAAAGGCTGATGTCTGTACTTGCTACCCTGCGTACAAGCTACACATACGAGTCAAGAGTCTGTCTACTATTCTATGGTTTATTTTAGTGGGTTTCCCTTACTTTTACCTTCTCGAACCTTGGTTGTTTGCTAGTCGCCGCCAGGCGACTTCTGTGCCGCTGTGCAGTCTGAGCCAGTGATTCGAGTGGTAATGCCCGGGCACCGCGCGACGAAAGCACATCGGGACTGCGGAGATACGGTAAATATGGGAGAACCGTGGTAGAACCCAGCAAATCATTGGTAAATATATGTAAATATGGTAGAATATGTTAGAATCATTTCGAATATGTTAGAATATGGCAATCACAACCATAGAACATATGGTAGAATATATGGAAATTACAACATCACACCACGAAGAGTGAAGTAATTTTGGTGTACGACTGACGCATTTCTTTTGATTCGCCGGACCCAAGGGGCCCACAGAGCCCAAGGGGTGGGGCCTCGGCAGGACCAGCATTATGGCCACATCCCTGAAGAGATCAACTTCTGGCTCCTTGGATTGAACGTGATTGGACCATTTTGAGCGCAATGCCGTGGATTTGACTTTTTGGTGAACTTTCCGAATATAAAGAAGTCTGAGTCTTGTCTACAACTCTAAGTTTTTGCATCAACTCATTTTCGACTGCACAACCCACGAATTCATCAGCAAGTTTCGGAAGACACTGCATTGGGTACCTGACGCATCGGAAGTCACTCCTCCTGGGATCCCTCATCCATGATGAGGCTTCCAATCACAAGCGTGGCGGGCAGCAATTCTCTCTTTGTAGAAAGCTTTCCAGGCCATGATTGCGGCGAAGCAGATGTTAGTGAAATTCTTGAGGAGGCCATTGTCGAGTAGGCATGCAAGTCGAAGGAAAGCCTGATGATTTGTAAAAAGCTTGCATGCACTAAGAATTAAGTTCCTACTTGATCTGGACTTTTGGTTATTGTTGGATGTGTTCAACAGATATTCCGGATCCTGGCCTCCCCAGGTCGTGAGGATTTTCAAGCCTTCGAAGGAGAGAATGGCGTGATCTTCAGCGGCTCGGACATGGGCATATAGACGTTGCAGCATGGTGATCTTCTCATGATGGCGACGACGATGATGCTGATGATGCTGCTGCTGATGATGATGATGATGAGGAGGGCGATGTAGAGCGACATTCACGGGGCTTTGAAGATGTTATTTGAATATATTTTAGTTTATTTGACTTTGATATGGTCTAAGACTGGACCTGGTGACATGGAGCCTTGTGGATTGTGATATTTTTTAGCGCGAAGACTTGGAAAGGATGCAAGCAGTACATCAACCATCGTTCGGGTGTTAGTATTTCCTACGAATGCAAGCCAAGTACGAAAAGAGAACAAACACTGAAACCAATGCAGTTTTGCTGCCAGACACGCTTTGGGGGCCAAGGGTGGTGGGGAAACCTTTGCGAGCACTATGCGGAGCCCAACTGCAGTGGCAACACTCGGGTGAGCAGCTTGGTTGCCGAGGGCACCAAAATGGCGACGTCCTATCATGTGCTCTCATTGTCACTGCATGGCCTCCAAGATCAGAAACTCTGTCAAATCACTGTTGAAGAATGTTATATATATATTATGTATATTGTAAATGTATGTATATACATATACATATATTATAACATAGTATATATATATATTATGGTCACCGACAGAATTATGGAAAAAAAACGTTCAACTTAGACAGGCGGCGCCTGCGTCCGATTTTTCCATAATTAGGTTTTTCCCCATAAGGGTTCAAAATATCCCGGAAGTGATCCGAACCTTTTTTTTCTCCATAATTCTTGGAGGTGGCCATTATTTCCATAATTGATTTTTCCTGTAAAATCAGGGGGCTAGGGCAGATTGACCGGTTTTTCCATAATTATTTTTTCCATAATTATTTTTTCCATAATTAATGTTTGGGGCTCCACCTGTTGGACATGTCATGGATCCACAATTCAAACCCCTTTTTTTTGGGGGTTATGGAAATATGTATGCAAATGCAAGTATGTAGTATCAACCCAATTGGTGGCTTGGCAAAAGGATACATCCCGCATATGTATGTACGTACAACAATGAGTTTTGGTGGTGCAATTGTATATCAATGGAAGACTTAGGGGCATATACCAGATCTTTAGACACATATTTTCTATAATTCAATATTCCCCGTTAAAATGCATTCAACTTGCGAATCGATGGTAATACAGTCACCGGCAGAATTATGGAAAACAAAATAATTATGGAAAAAAAAAGGTTCGTAACTTTTCTATCATAGACAGGCGGCGCCTGTAAATTGAAACGTTTTTTTTTTCCATAATTCTGTCGGTGACTGTATACATAAATGTATATATATATATATTTCAATAAATAAAACACATATACATATGTATATTTAATATATATACATACATTTACAATATACATATATATATATCACATATATATATATATATCATATATATATATCATATATATATATATATCATATATATATATATCATATATATATATATCATATATATATATATCATATATATATATATATATCATATATATAACATATATATATAACACACACACATATATATATAACATATATGTGTGTATATATATATATACACACATGTAGAGATGTAGCGCCTAGTACAGTCATGTCTATTTGTGCTGTGGCATGCATGATGTATGTGTGTATGCCGTAGCCCCTTTTCTTTTAGTTTCATTGTGAAACCAGATTGAACGACTTCGAGCCCAATAGAGAAAGAGTGAGCTACCCGCTGTGAAGAGGTGCTTACCCACTGCCACATTAATTTTGCATGGTAGCGGAGCCCTTGGGCTCTGACTCTGGGGAATCCGACTTTTGGGTGAACCATCTGGATCAAGGGCAGGCAAGTGCTGACTCAGCACAGCCTAGCGCCTCAGACCGGAATTGGATAAGATTGGTGCAGAGCATTCTCAGCGTGAGGCAAAGGTTGTTTGCCAATACTGGGCAATTCCTGAGGAACTATCCAAGGTCATTGTTGGATAGGACATCGAGAGTGTTTCCCCATTACCAATGAGTGGGCCGAAAGTCCAAGTGGAAGCCCAAGTGGGGCAACAGGGGCCGGAGCAGAACAAGTCTTTGCGCAGTTGCTGCTGCAGTTGCAGCAAGGGCAAGCGCAGATTGCCAGGGAGACAAGGGAAGGTCTACAGAAGCTGGCAGAAAGACTCCAGAAATCTTCAACTCGACCTGGGATTGTTGATGAGAAAGGGATTGGAAAGCCTGATGCCCTCAAAGGTAGTCATGAAGAAGTTCAGAAGCAATGGAAGCCTTGGAGTTACAAGTTTGAGACGTGGTTTTGCAGCCAATGGCCTACAGGTCAATAAGCTTTTGGACTATGCCAGGAGAAAGTGTGACGATCCTGTCACCGATGTGGATCTCTTGAACCACACCCTGCGGGACATCGACGCCATTGATGCGCACCTCCATGTAGCACTGGTTTCCTTGACTCAGGAAATGGCATATGATGTCGTCTACAATTCCCGTAAAAAGTGCGGGCTTGATGCCTGGAGGTGACTCTGTGTGACCTATGAACCTCAAAACAATCGTACAAATATCAGATTGTTGAGGAGAATCCTTAGCCCTTCAAGGTCAACAATGTCCACTATGAGAAGTAGTTTAGACAGGTTTGAGTCCGACATCGTGGAATATGAGTCGAGGGGACAAGCCAAACCATCAGACGAAACTCTTCGAGCAGTATTGTTGGCTATGGTGCCAGAAAATCTTGAAGAACATCTCGAACTCAACATCCAGAGGTTTGACACGTACTCCAAAATGCGTAGTGAGGTCATCTCATTCTTGGAGCAAAAGGCGTCTAAGTCAATGGTAGATGATGGTGGTGCAGCACCTATGGATTTGGACTATGTTCAAGGCAAAGGCAAAGGTAAGAGTACCAAGACATTGTACACTTGTGGAAAAGTTGGTCATGTTTCCAAAGACTGTTGGCACGGCAAGTCAAAGGGTACTTCAAATTCGTCCACTAGCAAGGGCTCAAGCTCAAAAGGCTCATCTACTGGTAAGGGTACCAAGGGTTCAAAAGGATCTTCAAAAGGAAAAGGCAAATCATCCAAAGGAAAGGGCAAAGGCAAGATGGGATCCAAATCTGGAAAGCAATACGCCGTTGAGAACCAAGAGGACGCTCAGCAGTGGTCTGAAGAACCTGATGGCCAATGGGAAGAGCAGACTGGTGAACAAGGTGCCATTTGTGTTGCTGCCAGTGCTGATTCAGCACAGCAGGCACCCAGGCAGAGAGAACTCACCAAGTATGAGAAGGCGTTGGAAGGAGAACAGAAGGAGTTCATGTTGGGAAAGATTTGGAAGCGCCCTGAAGTGTTTTGGAATATGCCGTTCAGGTTGGTTTGCAATCAAAGCTGCTATGATGGCAAGTTCTACTGTGGGTACCAGCGCTGCAAGCACAAAGGTTTTGGCACTCCATCTCAATTCAATCAGCATCTACGTTCAAAGGTTGGCACTCATGGACATCCAGACCAAGAACAAATCGATGCTTGGGAGAGAGACCCCTATGAAGTTGCAAAAGGACGCAGACACTATGGACTTTGGGATCCAAAGACGGGTCAATTGTTGCATGCAAGGATTGAAGATTGGCAACTGGATTCAACACCTTTGAAGGTCGCCATCGAGAGGAGCAAGGAGAGAATGAGGAAGGCGCTTGCTACAAAGAAGCCACCTGCTAAGGAAGAAGCCACTGAGGTTGAGAAGAAGAAGAAGAAGAAGAAGCCCGTGTTGTTGAAGGCAACACCCAAGGTCAAGGCAGAGAAGTTTGGTTCAAAGCATGTGGAGAATGTCGATGACGACTCTTCTGAGTACACCATCGATTCACAAGACATTGAAGAAGGTGAATCTGAAGCTTTTGAAGTGAAAGATGAAGAAGTTGAGGTTCCTGAGGAGCAGCATGAGGAGCCACCTGAGGAGCAGCATGAGGAGGAGCCACCTGAAGAGCCACATGTCGAGCAACCTGAAGATAGACCTGAGGAGACTGCAGAGGACCTGGAAGCTTTGAGAGAGGAAAAGGGTAAAGACCTTGGAAAAAAGAAGGACATCAAAGCTTTAGAGAAGAAGAAGAAAAAGCGTGAGGAGAAAGAGGCATTGCAAAAGAAACCTGTTGGATTCACACCTGGCGCCGTGGCAAAGTTCACTCAGGCTCTGATCATGCAGAAGCTTGAGGAGGTCAAGTCCATTGAAAGCACTTTGACACTTCTGGATCGTGATCATCCAGCACGCAAAGCTTTGGAGGAGACCATGGCCCAGAAGAAGGAGGAGATGAAGAAGATCCAAGCTGAAAGACAGAAGGCGCGTGGTAAGAAGTATTCTACCAGGCATGAGATGGACAAGAAAGAAGCTGGTTCTAGGGTTGCCTACATCAAGGAGAGGCAGAGGCAAAGAGCTGCTGATCATAGGAAGTCAGGCTTCAAGGAGAGAGCTATTGCCAATGTGGCAAAGCAAGAGGAAGCTGAAAGACGTTTCAACCAACCAGGCACTGGAGTGAGAGTGAAGACATTTCCTTTGGCTGAAAGGGAGTTGTCAAAAGAAGTTGGAAAGCCTTCATCAAGGACGAGCAGGACGAGGAGTTTCCTGAAGTCAAGCGCAGGAGTATGGAACTTCCACCCAGTGAGAAGAGAAGGTTGAAGGAGAAGAAAGCCAAGTTCAAGGAGGAACTTTCATCCTCCTTCCCATCACCTGGACACCAAAACCAAGTTGGGATTTTCCAAACACCATTCCTGTAGTAGATCTTGATGGACTTGCCATTCTTCAAGATGATCTGGCCTCCTTCTGGCGTCATCTTCACAGTGTGTCCCAAGCTTGTCATCTTGCACACACTGAGTAGTGGCTTTGCGCTATCCACCACTGAAAATGTTCCAGTCAACACCAGCCCACATTGAAATGCCATCTGAACAATCTTCTGTCCCAAGTTTGGGATGATACGTCCATGTGCGAGTGCAAAGTCTTTGAGACCTTGTGGTGGCTTCATAGGAATTCCTGGTAGTACACCAACTGGAAGAGTGTTGTCTGATGCACCACTGTCCACGATGAAATCCACACGACACCAATTGCTTCCTTCTGGTCCATCACGTCTTGGTGGCAGCTTACTTGGGGGTCCAAAGCTGTTCAGCTCTCCTCTTTGTCCTTCTTCTTCACTTGCTTCAGCTCTCATTTCGTCGTCTGTAGGTTCCAAGCCCACTAGCTCGGCAACTTCCTCCAAACTTTCTTCATCTGACGATGCTGGCCCCATTCGTCCCCTCGCAATCTTCAATGGTCCTTGAACAAGTCGATGACTGAAGTCAATCCTAGGTCTCTCCTCAACTTCTCTCCGCTGAGGGCTTCCTTCTGGGGATTTGGGCCGTTGTGAGCCTCGATCAGAGCTGTAGTGGCTCTCCCATTGGTCGTGCTCCCAATGGGACCTCTTTCCCCAGCTGCCTTGCCATTTGTTGGACCAACCCTTTGATGATCCACCGTGGTACTTGGATGAGTAAGCCTTCGACTTGCTATCCTGGTGTGCTGAACCAGCACTGCCAGATGCTTGTTCTGGTGGCTTCCCAACTTCAGCCAACAAGGCTTGAACTTCTGCATCATCCTCTTCTTCAAGATCTGCAATGGGCACTGCTTCTTCTTCCTCCTGCTTCTGCTTCTTCTTGGCGCTTTCCTCCTTGAGTTCTTTGAGAAGCTGTTCTTCTTTCCTCTTCAAAGGCAGGGAAAGCCGTAAGACCTTTGGGTCAAGCGCTAGCTGAAGAAGATGCTGGAGCTTCAGCTAAGCCATTGCCAATTCCAGCAAGGCCTACACCAGAGATGGTGAAAGCCCATGAAGTTTGCCATGTACCATTTAGGTCGTGGTGCAGTCACTGTGTCAGAGGACGTGGTAAATCGTTCTCCCACAAAGCAGTTGACCACAGTCAGGATGATGAAGGTCGCCCTGTTGTATCATTCACTGTGGTTTCTTTGGTTCGCCTGGAGAACTACTGGCTGATGCTGTTGGTGGACAAAAGATGCCAGTTTTGGTTGTGCGTGACCGTTTCACCAAAGCAATCTTTTCACATTTGGTTCCTGCCAAAGGCACAGAACACTACTACCCTGAGATTGCGCTCTTGAGAGATCAAATTTCTTGTTTACACTTCTTTGACTTTGAAAACAGATCAACAGCCATCTATCATCGCTTTGGCTACAGCAGTCAAGAACACTTTGTCATCACAAGGTATTTCAGTGCAGTTGGAGAACAGCCCAAAAGGAGATAGCCATGGTATGTCAAATGGTGAAGCTGAATCATCGGTGGGAATCACACAAGGTTTAGCCAGGACGCTCAAGGACCATGTTGAACACAAAGTTGGACAACAGTTAGACCCAAGATCACCTATCTTGGGATGGTTGATTGAGTATGTTGGCACTTTGTACACTTTATTTTCATTTGATGAGAAAGCTCGAGATGGTTTGACAGCGTTTAGACGCATCAAGGGTCATGATTGGACAGTTGCACTTCCAGCTTTTGGTGAATGTGTGGACTACAGAGTCAAGACCAACCACAAGTTGGAGCCGCGTTGGGAATCTGGTATTTTTCTTGGAGTACGACTTCACACTACTGAGAAGATCATTGGAACCCCCAAAGGAGTTGTTGTTGTACAATCTGTAAGACGCAAGCCAGATGATCAACAGTGGAATTTGCAGATACTTCAATCAATTACTGGTACACCATGGGCCCCTAATCCAGCAAAGCAGAAAGAGCCAAGAGAGGCACTGGAACTTCCAGTGCCAGTGTCCATTGAACCAGAACAGCCAGAGGAAGAAGTCAAACAAGTTGAGACCAGTGAGTTGAAACCACACTTCACACGTGTTTATCTTCGACAAGATGATTTTGACAAGTTTGGTTACAGTGCTGGTTGCAAAGCTTGTGCACTTATACGCTCTGGTTTAGATCGTCAAGGAGTCAATCATGCAGAGGATTGTCGTTTGAGGATAGTCCAAAGGTTGCAAGAGACTGAGTATGGACGTAGGAGGATTGAAATTGCAGCCAAAAGAGAAGAGGAAGCCAAACAAGATGCTTCAAAGAGACAAAGATTGGCTATTCAAGATGTTGGTGTTGAGCGAGCATCTGGACCTTCAAGTGGATCAGGAATCAAAAGACATGCAGAGGATCCACCACAGGATCCTAGGCTTGAAGACCCCGAGCAGCCGGGAGGCAGTGTTGCTTCAACACGCCAGCCTGGAACAAAGAGGGATGTAGAGCAAGCTGGTTTGAGCTCTGATCCAATGGAAGACGTCGAAACTTCCCTTACAAACGTTTTACTTTCTCAAAGACAAGGTTTTCTAGGAGCTGTTTACGCACAAGTTGAACCGTCACCTGAAACACTACCTGTTTGTGAAGAGAACTTTGGGATTGACCCAGAAGAACTACTCTACTGGGACAACGTTTCGGGAAAGCCGTTGGACACCGCAAAGGTGCAGGAGGCACGTCGAGAAGAATGCCAAGTGATTGATGCTATGGATGTCTGGAGGTCATCGACAGACCTGCCAATGAGCGAGTCATTTCCACTCGTTGGGTGGATGTGAACAAAGGGGATGAGACACATCCCAAGTATCGCTCAAGATTCGTGGCAAGAGAACTGAAGCAGAAAGGGGACACACCTTCACACTGGAGTGATTTCTTTGCTTCTATGCCGCCTATCACAGCACTTCGCGCATTATTTACTTTGGCCGTGACCATGAGGGTACCTAACCTTGAAGGTAAGTTAGCCCAAATGGATCCAACTACGTGCTTGATTTTCATTGACGTCAAGAAAGCTCATTTTTGGAGCCCTGCTCGTAGAAGATTGTTGGTTGAACTCCCAGGTGGAATGGGATATCCACCAGGCAAAGTGGGTTTGTTGCGGAAATCTCTTTATGGAACCCGCGACGCTCCAGCCAACTGGGAGGCAGCAATCAAAGCAGTGATGATGCTAATTGGTTTTCAGCAAGCCAAAAGTAACTCATGTTTGTAGTACCACACCGAGAAGCAAATTCGCATCGAGGTGCACGGTGATGATTTCACCGGAGTAGGACCGAAAACAGAGTTAGAATGGTTTTCCGCCGAACTTTGCAAACACTGGACGATTGATGTTCGAGGTATTTTAGGACCCCCATCTATGAAAGATGTGGATCACTCAATTGTTATCTTGAATTGTTTGGTGACGTGGACAGACAAGGGCATTGAAATGGAAGCCGATCCGAGACATGTGGACCTACTTCTTCAAGAGGTTGGTTGTGAAGGATCGAAGGTCACAACGCCTTTGATCAAAGAGCGGATCGAAGAGGCTTTGACTTCTGAGGAATTGGACGAAGAGACATCAGCGATGTATCGTTCTGCAAGTATGAGATTGGCGTATCTTTCACAAGATAGACCTGATTTGTTGGTTCTTGGAAAGGAACTAGCGAAAGGTTTGAAGCGACCAACTCAAGCACATTTGCAGATGTTGAAACGTGGAGTTCGCTATCTTCGTTCGCATCCGAGAATGATACACCTGTTTCCGAATCAGAAGCAATTTACTTCATTGGAACTTTGAGTCGATGCCGACCATGCAGGATGTATTAGATCTAGGAAGTCAACCACGGGCACAGTTTTACAGTTAGGTCGTTGCACAATCCGGACAACCTGCAAGTCACAAGCCGTGATAGCATTGAGCTCCGGAGAGGCCGAATACTACGGACTCGTGTCCGGACTTTGCCAAGCACTCGGCGAACAGTCTCAACTCCGTGACTGGGGAGTGCATGTTCCCATCATCGGCTACATGGATGCAACAACGGGACTTTCAATTGGTAGCCGCCATGGATTGGGAAAGGTCAAACACATAGATACAGTATTTCTGTGGGCACAGGATGCCGTTTTGACTGGAAAGGCAAAGTTGTACAAGAAGAGCACTCAAGAAATGCTCACGGACCTGTTTACCAAACCCTTGGATGCAGGCCGAATGAAGATGCTCTTAGAGAAACTGAACTATCGCTTTTGCGGAGGAAGACATCATTTAGCACTTGACGCATGAGAGACAGGGGCTGAGCCAGGCTAGGGTAGAAAGACTGTACATGTCTAGTCGCCGCAAATTCTCACTCGCAGCTTGCACTCTGTTGAACCAGAGGCACTCCTTCGGGAGGCATGTAGAGATGTAGCGCCTAGTACAGTCATGTCTGTTTGTGCTGTGGCATGCATGATGTATGTGTGTATGCCGTAGCCCCTTTTCTTTTAGTTTCATTGTGAAACCAGATTGAACGACTTCGAGCCCAATAGAGAAAGAGTGAGCTACCCGCTGTGAAGAGGTGCTTACCCACTGCCACATTAATTTTGCAACACAACATATACATATGTCTATTATCAATAAATAGATAATAAATAAATAATTAAATAAATATATATATAATTATACATGTATATTTTATAGTATATATATGTTCATGTATATGTATATATATATATATACATATGACATATTTTATATGAATTATGATGGAAGCGACAGAAATTGATCGAGACAATTTATTATTCACATAGATTTGGCTTTGTTTAAAATGGCAGCGGTCTGGAGGCATTTAAGCATGCAACAGATGTAGAGCGACCCCTTTCTCGCCCAGAAATTTTGTCCGAGGCCTCGACTTTCGAATCGTTCCTGGCCGCTTTTGGGCTGCCGCCTTGGCTAGTGGCAGTGTGAGCGAGGTGCGAACGAATAAGTTTGATGGGCCTTAATCGATGTTTTAATGAATTGATTTATATTTTTCACTCCACTTGGAAAGCATTTTCAAGGTTTCGCGCGCGATTTGGACATATTTCAATGATTTTTCATACTTAATCATGACTTGAAAACTTGGAGATTAGCGTGAGAAGGCACACCCCCGCGGCTGGCACCGTGCCAGGCAGAGAGGAAGCGGAGACATTATCACGGAGGAAGTCTCGCATCCATCGGGTCCTATTACACTTGGATCTCCGGGAGCTGAATCTGATGGAGTCCTGGAGTCCTGATGGTCGATGCTTCAGCTGAATCGACCTTGCAGCTGAACTTGGAGGCTACGGTATTTGAGCCTTCGAGACTTGGATAATCTTGCGGAGCTCTGCCTCTTGTGAATGGGGTCAAGATCTTGACAAAGATCGCTATGGTTCTTTTTTGAGTGGGACGTGCTGGTTGAATATGCCTCGTAAGTGGCGTATTTGCTTGCAGCGAGGACCACCAGCGCAGGTTGTCTTTTGGTGTGAAGGAGGATTCCTGCCAGTCAAGATACACCAAAGGCCCAGATTGGCTTTGATTCTAAGTCAACTACAGAGAAGTTGAAATTGTGGAAATGGCTTGACATTGGAGAGCCATTGTCTGTATTCCATTTGTTGACGCAGAAGCGGGGCAGCATCGTGAAAACCCGCCTCTGCATCGCAAAGATCCCAAAGGTTGGCATGTTGACTCCATGTGTTTTGGACACTTTAAATGTAATATGCAGATGGAGTCGTGTGTCTATGTCATTGTCTACCTCTACGTGTGTACGTGTGTATATATATATAGTACTACATACTCTATTATATGTATAATATATATTTATATATAATATACCACCACCACCGCCGCCGCCGCCCACCACCACCGCCGCCGCCACGGCCACGGCCACGGCCACGGCCACGGCCACGGCCACGGCCACCACCAGCAGCGCAGCAGCAGCAGCAGCAGCGGCAGCAGCGGCAGCAGCGGCAGCAGCGGTAGCAGCTGCAGCAGCGGCAGCAGCGACAGCAGCAACAACAGCAGCAACAGCGCAAGCACAAGCACAAGCACAAGCACAAGCAGAAGCAGAAGCAGAAGCAGCACAAGTACAAGCAGCACAAGCACAAGCAGCACAAGCACAGGCAGGGCCACAGGCACAAGCACAAGCATCACCACAAGCACCACCGCCACCTTCCCATCACCATCATCACTACCACAACATCACCACATCACCACACCATCGCACCACCCACCAGCCACCAAACTATCACCACCATCACCACCATCACCACCATCACCGCCATCACCACCATCACCACCATCACCACCATCACCACTGTCACAGCCATTACCACCATCACCACCAGCACCATCACCACCAGTGCCATCGCCACTAGCACCATCACCACCATCAGCCGCCACCATCATCACCACTATCATCACCAATATCACCACTATCACCACCACCACAATCACCACCACGATCATCACCACTATAATCACTGCGATCATCACCACGATCATCATCACCACTATCCATCACTATATATATACTGTCATCGCCACTATCAACATCATGATCATCACCACCATCATCACCACTGTCATCATCACCACTATCATCATCACCGCTAGCATCATCACCACTGGCATCATCAGCACTATTATCACCACTATCATCACCACCACCATCATCACCACTACCACCGCCACCACCACCAGACGTTACCCGCCAGCCTCAACCGCCTATGGAATGTAAGCTATATATATGGCTAAGGCAACAAATGTTCTGGTTTCCTGGTTTCCAGAGTTTGCAGCCAAGATGCTTCAATTCTAGAGTGTGAAAGTTCCATACAGTTCGTTTTTTGCGTGCTCCGTGCATTAGACAATTTCGAGACATGCAGAACCCATGCCATGAATGACTGCAGCTTGTATTTCGAGTGCTCAAAGAACCTTCAATGTTTTGAGGGTGCCAATGGCCATTAGATTTGGACAATGTATGCAGCTATTCTGTGAGAAACAATGCAACAGTGAAACACCACTTTCTCAATGGACATCCAGCAGAATTTCGGAACCCTGTGACACTGGAAATGGTGATTGTATACCCAACTGCAGCGTTCTGTTTGTGAGCCATGTCTCGTTCGCGAGAAAGCGACCTGGAGTCTGTGTGCCTGTCCGATTTGCCGGAGCCTTTGTTGCAGGAAGGGAAAATCCTGGACGATCCGACCTCAAACAATGACTCCGCTTGTGCAGTTGATATGTGTTTGCATCATATGAGTTTACAATAGTTTACATATATACAATTATGTAAAGTGATGTATGTGCATAGACATTGTTATATATATATATATGTATATGCATAAGTAATATAAACTATGTCGTTGGCATTTTCACAACTTGGAAGCTGTATCAGGCTAGCTGAGTCCAGCCCAGGAATCCATTGATTTGCCAGTACAGAGAGCATCCTCTCGAAGAACCAGTTCCACTCAGCTCAGCCTTTCACTGGAACCTGATACTCAGCCTGATGAATTCCTGGTTGTGTGGCCATTGGCTTCAGACAAGGCCCAAAGGATCGGATCTTGTTTGGTTGGCTTTCTCTTCTGGCTATGCGGCTTTTTGATATCACAAGAAAACAGATAATTTCGGTATATTTTGTGCCATGCGTGTGTTTTTTTCACTGTGCGTTCCCGATGAACTGCTTGCAGCAAACCTCTGTACATACATGTATATAGGTGTATAAGTGTATACATGGAAATATATGTATGCATGGATGAATGCATGTAATGTAATGTAATGTAACGTAACGTAACGTAACGTAACGTAACGTAACGTAACGTATGTATGCATTGGCCTTCACATACATACACATATACATAATATGTATACCGTATATACCTATTATATGAACAGACGTCTTTGCTGCATATCTGTGTGTATGCGTATATATATATATATATATAAATAGATACATATAGCTTTACATATTGATTCAATTATCTACACGTATGTTTCTACAATATATATATATATATGTATATACTTAGCTATATATATATATACATCGCAATACATGCATTGCATTACATTGCATTGCGGTACATTCCATTCCCTTCCATTCCATAACGTTACATGACATCACATCACGTCACATAGCATCATATCACGTCGTATCACATACATTACACGCATTACATACATTACATACCTACGTATACACATACACACAGTTGAACACACACATGCACACGTATATACACGTATATACACGTATATACACGTATATACACGTACATATATATATATATATATATATATTCCCAGACAACTATAGTGGAGGTGACTTCTTGTGATGCATGGATGGCGGAGCGAACCTACTGATGGACCGAAAGGTGGCTGAGGCTCTGAGTCTCTCTCTCCCTCTCTCTCTCTCTCTATCTATCTATCTATCTATCTCTATCTCTATCTCTGTCTCTGTCTCTGTCTCTGTCTCTGTCTATGTCTATGTCTATGTCTATGTCTATGTCTATGTCTCTCTCTCTCTATCTCTATCTCCATCTCCATCTCGCTCTCTCTCTCTCTCTCTCTATCTCTCTCTCTCTCTCTCTGTCTCTCTCTCTCTCTGTTTTTTTCTACCTGTCTGCCTGTCTATCTGTTTATTCCCAAAAGCATCTTCGATGCTTGGGTTCTCGTTTAGTTGTTTAACCGCGTGGGGGAGCGACCTGGCTCGAACGGTGGTGTGCGGACGGCGTGGGTGCAAGGGAAAGGAAAGGAAAGGATGGGAAAGGAAGGGAAAGGAAGGGAAAGGATGGGAAAGGAACGGAAAGGACGGCAAATGGGTGCGGAGAACTGCGCGGACGGCTGCGGACGGCGTGGGTGCAAGGGGGTGGCTGGAAATGGGTGGGGAGAAGAAGCCGCTGTGGTGATGAGCGACCTTGGCTGCGCGGACGGCTGCGGACGGCAAATGGGTGCGGAGAAGTCCGCGGATGGCTGCGGACGGCGTGGGTGCAACGGGGTGGCTGGAAATGGGTAGGGAGAAGAAGCCGCTGGTGATGAGCGACCGTGGCTGCGCGGACGGCTGCGGACGGCAAATGGGTGCGGAGAACTGCGTGGACGGCTGCGGACGGCGTGGGTGCAACGGAGTGGCTGGAAATGGGTGGGGAGAAGAAGCCGCGGGTGATGAGCGAGCTTGGCTGCGCGAACGGCTGCGGACGGCAAATGGGTGCGGAGAACTGCGCGGACGGCTGCGGACGGCGTGGGTGCAAGGGGGTGGCTGGAAATGGGTGGAGAGAAGAAGCCGCTGGTGATGAGCGACCTTGGCTGCGCAGACGGCTGCGGACGGCAAATGGGTGCGGAGAACTGCGTGGACGGCTGCGGACGGCGTGGGTGCAACGGAGTGGCTGGAAATGGGTGGGGACAAGAAGCCGCTGGTGATGAGCGACCTTGGCTGCGCGGACGGCTGCGGACTGCAAATGGGTGCGGAGAACTGCGCGGACGGCTGCGGACGGCGTGGGTGCAAGGGGGTGGCTGGAAATGGGTGGGGAGAAGAAGCCGCTGGTGATGAGCGACCTTGGCTGCGCGGACGGCTGCGGACGGCAAATGGGTGCGGAGAAGTCCGCGGATGGCTGCGGACGGCGTGGGTGCAACGGGGTGGCTGGAAATGGGTAGGGAGAAGAAGCCGCTGGTGATGAGCGACCGTGGCTGCGCGGACGGCTGCGGACGGCAAATGGGTGCGGAGAACTGCGTGGACGGCTGCGGACGGCGTGGGTGCAACGGAGTGGCTGGAAATGGGTGGGGAGAAGAAGCCGCGGGTGATGAGCGAGCTTGGCTGCGCGAACGGCTGCGGACGGCAAATGGGTGCGGAGAACTGCGCGGACGGCTGCGGACGGCGTGGGTGCAAGGGGGTGGCTGGAAATGGGTGGAGAGAAGAAGCCGCTGGTGATGAGCGACCTTGGCTGCGCAGACGGCTGCGGACGGCAAATGGGTGATTAACCGAGCGGAAGGCTGATGCGGGGACGCGTGGGGCAAGGAAGGTGTGGAAAGGGTTGGGGTGAGAGAAGATTGCCGGCGGGGATGAGCGACCTTGGCTGCGCGGACGGCTGCGGACGGCAAATGGGTGCGGAGAACTGCGTGGACGGCTGCGGACGGCGTGGGTGCAATGGAGTGCTGGAAATGGGTGGGGAGAAGAAGCCGCTGGTGATGAGCGACCTTGGCTGCGCGGACGGCTGCGGACGGCAAATGGGTGCGGAGAACTGCGCGGACAGCTGCGGACGGCGTGGGTGCAAGGGGCTGGCTGGAAATGGGTGGGGAGAAGAAGCCGCTGGTGATGAGCGACCTTGGC